TCCGCGCTGCGCATGCTGGCGGGGGCGCGCCACGTGGTTCTCCATTACGAGGACGTCGTGGCGGATCCCAGCGTAAGCGCCGCGGCGTTTTGGGGGCCCCCTCGTTTTGAGCCTTGCCGATGAGCCCGTTTTAGTAGAGCTGAAAGATGACAAATAGCGAGCCGTTATAATCCTCTGAAAATGAGGGCTTCGAGTCGAGCTGCTTCAGGACATCCTGGCCAGCTGTATATTGACTTTCGGGTTCACCGGTGCTGCCTCAAGGAAGGATGGGTAACATCTGTGTCTGGAGTGCGGTTACCCAATGTGCATCCATATTCTGGCAACCAGTACTGTGACATCTGGTCGCCTGAAGCAAACGGGCCACATGTATCAAAGAACGTTCCAGGACCTCCAATTAGCCTGACGCACTCCACACTGCCACGGCCGAGGGGAAGAGCTGAAAAGGACGTGAGTAACCCGAACGCAGTATTTACAGATAGAAGTTTGAGGGACTCTCGCAAGGGGGGCGTTTCAATGAGTCTGCCCACTCTTTCATTGTTGTCAGGATAGCAGCTCACTGCCCACTCGCTCGCTTCCATTCGGTACTAGGCAAGTGCACTCTGACATAACAAAGTGTTTGGAAGCACATTTCAGCAGCCAGCTTCTTCCCTTGTGCCTTGGCAGAACGGTAGACAAAGCCACACTCCGCTCCGTTTTGAACCGCTTACATCAGCCTCCAGTCTCCTCCACACAGTCTCGGCAGACGACGAAGACACAGACGCTAAGCCAGAAAATTGCGGCCTGGAAGAAATTGTTTCTGGCTTTGGCCTGCGTCGCCTGCGTCCTGATGGGCTCTTTGCCGGAGGCGACTGCGCAGCAGGCCGCAAGTAAGCCGCACAAATTTCCCACTGCTTCGTGACCACTGGTGCTGATGTTCGGCCCCCACGTCTCAAGATCGCCTTGATCAGCCTGATAAATGCACCTGTGCCCTTGGAAAACACGGTCTGGATCGATCTTGATTGCAGGAATTGAAACATTTTTTTGAAGTATGTTTTGAGAATCTCTTGCCGCGACGTACGACGCTTGAATCGAGAACTTTTGCTGTCGGTTGTGTCGCGCATTCAGAGGCAAACCGCACTCCCGTACCTGAAGTTTTAGCAGTGCAAAGACGTGTTGGAGAGAATTCTCAGAACCCAGCTTTTACCCGGGAAGATTGCTGTATTTCCACGGATCGACACGTAGATTGTCCTTAGATTGTCAGCTCTTTGCGGCTAGCCGACGTCGCGCTTGCTTCTTGCATTGCTGGACAAAGTCACATGAAAGGAGGAGTCAGAAGGGTAAAAGAACGAACCATATCATTTCCCGACCGAGACAACCAAGTACATACATGACGTAATTTGAATGCACTGATACCTGTAAAGGACATAGTATTTTGAAAGATCCGTGCACCGTCCTTCGTCATCGAAGGGATCACTGCGACCTTCCTGGTTGTAGGGACGAAGCAGTGAGAGGTGAAACTTTTGAGGCTCGCAAACCAAAAACCCTCAAAACCCTCGACGCCTCCGCGCAGCTCGGAACGTCACCTTTGGCGCGCGGTGGTCCCCGGCCCCGGTCCGAACCTCATTGGGACCGCCGGTACCACCGGCACCTTCCCACCTTCGTCGTTCTGCAGCAACGACGGCATTACCCTGGCCCTCCAAATCCCGAACGAGAGCGGGTGCGCGGCCGCGTGCGTCGCGTGGAACCTGGTCAGGGGGATCCCCGGCGGCGCGTTTGCGGCCGTGCCCGCGTGCGTCGGCTTCAGCTACGTCCTGGAGTTTCACGAGGCGCTCGCCGGCCCGCCGGCCGGGTGCTGCAAGCTTCTGTCGGCGAGCCAGCCGCTGGTGGACAGCGGACCGGCGTATACTACTTACGGTGAGAGCTCCGGGCAGTGGGACTTACCTGACCGCTGCGCACGCGCGCGCACTGCAAACGAAGGCAAGTTTATGAGGCCTCAACACTCTCAGACGCGCGCGCCGGTCTCAAACGTCCGGCTGAGAGACCCAAAACGCTTATGATTTGGCCTCAAGTGGGACTAGCTCTCGTTTCTCGCATGCAATTTGGCATAAGTGGGTGTCGAAATGTGAGGTTGGATCCTTTTGACGCCTCTTTGCCCCAGGCTCAGAAAACTTCTCCGACTGTCTTTTCTGGCCTTGCAGCCGGTCATTCCTGGCTTTGGTTGCTTGGAGGGAACTCCCAGATACAAGATGGGTTCCATTACCAGCTATTATCAAAGCACAGTCGATTACTTGGAGTACGACCAGAATGTGAAAGCTGATCGTTCGCTTGTAAGTAACGAGGAGTTCGGCGCCGGCACGGCCGAGATTGACACGCCGCAATCATTTCAGAAAGGGTGGGTCAGAGCGCTTTACTGTGACTAACTCGTCGGTTTCTCTCACCAGTCCTTCCGTCGAATCCGGCGCCCACTTCCGAAATTGTCCCCGGGGTTTTGGGCGCTTACTCAAGTCACCTAAAGTCGTAAATGAAATCCCTTCGCACTACTAAGGCCCCTC